AAATATGCTCTATAAATATGCCCTAAAAATATCAAAAATAGCAAAATATAAAATAAATACAAACCAAAGTTTTATTCAATTTATCATATAACTTTATTAAATCATATATTTATAAAAAAAACTAAAATCTCCGTTTACAGTTTAAAAAAATTTGTATGTACTGATTGACTTGATACCTTGAATTATGACATCGTTTGTACGCAACTATTCAATATTTTCTGAGTAAATAAGAATAAAATTCAAATAATTATTATTTATCAATTAATAATTAAATAATATTTTATTTATTTTACCTGAGTTACACTGTATGATTAAGTGTTTTGCAAAATTTTCAAATTTAAAGTTCCAGCGGTTATCAGTCAACAATGACTTGTAGGTCGAAAAGGAACGTTCAACGTCAACCGATGTAATAAGTGAATACTTAAAAAAAACTATATTGTCACTAGTCAATTCTTCAAGATCTCCGTCTAATTCGCTATTTTCCTCTTCACCCGACAATATTTTGGAAATGCGTTTTAATGTTGATAAGCCCTTATTATTTTCAAATACAGTTTTAAATTTATTTTTTACAATTGTACCTGCTTCACCCCGTAATGATTTGAACGATGCTTTGATATCCTCAATTATTTTTAAAACTGTTATTAAAGAATGGCCTTTTGTTTGTAGTTTATTTATTCCTTCTACGAGAATTGTAAAGTTTGATTTTATATAGGTTGCTCTCAAGACTGGGTTTAACTATGTATTTTTTAGTTTTTTTAATACTTACTGCATCATCTTCATCGAGCTTTTCACTAACACGGAGAATAGTGTTCAAATTTTCACAGTAATAAATGGCAGCGTTAATCCATGATCCCCATCTTGTAATTATTGGATCTGGTGGTAAACATATACCTGCAGCCTCTATTTTAAATAATTCGACTTTAGTAGTTGCTTTTTTACAATTTGCGATTACTTTGTCAACAGTGCTAAAGTGGTCACAAATCCTGTTCGTGACATGCTCGAACATGTGCTGCACATGTCACATGAATCATTTTTGAGTAGAACACTTTTAATGATTTTCCAGCTTTTTTCATATATGGTGCCTCGTCCGATAAAAATAATAGTACATTGTCATGCTGTATTCCATTTGGCCATAATTTGCTCATAGATTTGTCGACAACTTTACTAATGGTAGAAAAATTGGTTTTTTCTAATTGTTGTTGTGGAGTAAAAATATGGATCCAGAATATTCAATCTCCAGAGTACCGATGATAACATTAGCAATAAAGCGTCCTTTAACGTAGATTACATTGGTACACTATAGACAGCTGTTCCCGTAGTCAGGTTATTGCTTCGATGCCGCTCATTATCACAATTTATAATTTGTACTGCTGTGGCATTATTATATTATATTGTGTATTATTAAAATGATTAAAATTGTGAACACACATAGTACCAAATTCCAAATTCCATTGATTTATTAATTAGAGTTACCCTTTGTGATTATTTTAAGTACAAATAACATATATACACACCTACACACCACCTCCACTCTAGCACTCATAGGTTAATACCGCACAAAGTATTTTGGTGACTGGGCAAACGGCATATTATTTGGTCGTACCCGTCCCGTACACTCATTTTTGGGAAAACCTCATGGTTAAACTTATATTATATCTTAAATGGTGCTCATGACCAAAGAAAATTATTATTATAAAATGCCACAATATTAATTATAAATTATTCTTGTTTAATATTCTTATGAACAAAACATGCCATGGTAGATAGCAAAATTAGTAGTATTCCACTAAAATTATTATATTATTATTCCCCATAACCAATATTGCTATAAATTAAATTATTATATTAAAAGAAAACTAAATACCCATCAATTAATACTCTTTAAATAACGGTCCTAACGTTAAACCAAAAAATTATGCATATTGATTATAAATTATTTGTAAAGAAAAAAAAACTGATTATTCCACTTGTTCTTATTATTAAAGTTACAATGTATTACACTTTTGCTTTTCTTGCAAGAGTTTCTCCATTTTATCTTATTTAACATATTAAAATCTTGAAACGTTAAAACATTAACCTAATCCCCTGTTTAAATAAAACTACCTATTCCCCTTGATTATCGATATTTTCCCCTTAAAAAATTATTATATATAACGACGACTGAGATTCTGCTGTACTAGGAAGCTTGTTGCCTGGGTAGCTTTGTCCCACCTAGGGCCCTATTCTTAGTTTATACCGTTAGAGCAGGGATCTCCAAACTACGGCCCGCGAACAAGTTTTAACCGGCCCGTGGCCCGCATAGGACGCATAGGATAAATATAGATAAAAAAATTATTTCAAAAATGTATTTATATTATATTATATTTATACCTATTTATTTTTATTTAAATATATTGTAAAGTGAACAATATTCTTTACAAAAATATAAAGTAAACATATTATTTATATAGGTACCTATATTATCATAGAATTAAAAATTATGTGTTAATAAACTTTTGGCCCGCTAAGAGCATTGGATTTTTTTTGTGGCCCTTGAATAAAAAAGTTTGGAGACCCTTGTGTTAGAGCATTAGGCGATCGTATCAGTCTTGTGGAAGGCCAAGGTACTAGGTTAACTGCTCTTGAAAACAAAATTCAAAATTCTGCCCCTCTTATTGCCCCACCCACTGACTCTACAAGCTCTCAATTAATACCACAAATTTCATTTAATAGTCTTTTAATCTCCACTACTCTCACTAGTTCTTATCAAACACAACCCACTATCCACCTAAATGTATCTAGTCTCTCTGCCCCTAAGTATAACAACCAGTCACATCAACCCCACACCTAACAACACAACCCTCTCCAATATTTTCGGTATAAGTTTCGATTCAACAAAGCTCTCTCCCTACGATGGCAAAATTGTCCCCTTACATCCCGAAGAATTTCTTGAGCAAGCAAAACAGTATTTTTTTACACAACCCCCGGTCCACGATCAATTAAAAATTAACTACATAAAAGAGTGATTTATTGGCGACGCCAGAAACTGGTATAACACTTTATTACCATCCCCATCTGTAAACCAGGACTTTTTATTATTGTTTCGGAGCCACTTCTGGTCTACCAACCAGCGGCGCGCTGTTAGGAATAAATTATACCGGCCTTATTTTCATAGGGACAACTCATCCCTCCAAAAGCACGCTATAGACTGCATTAACCAAGCCCGTTTCCTAAGACTCCCATCGACCAAGCTGAAATGGTTGACCAAATCATATCACATTTTTTATTTAATATTTCAGTTGCCCTCCGAGGTCTCCGCATCATCACAACTAATGAACTTATCCAACAACTTTCCCACCTTCAACAAGCCAATCCCCCTCAAAATAGTCAATCTACACCCCCTATCAAAATCAAAGTCCAAATTCGTATCACAAATTCACAACACTTCTGGCCATCATAATCAAAATAGGTATCCCCCTCGTTAGGTTAGGTTAGGTTAGGTTAGGCCAGGGTTCCAATGATACCCAGCATCTCCTTAAATATACAATTATAACAATGATAATACAAACAATGCTATTAACCATATGCATAGTATGTGCGTTACAGGTCACCTACATCTGTTTAGGTGTTACCTATGTAACCAATACCAATCAAATGCGTAAATTTGAATTGCATAGTCAAAATTTGAGATACACTGTACAATGATATTTTGTTAAATAGTTTTAAACACATACCCATGGCTAAATACTTAGGTATGACAACAATAATACTAAAATACGTTCTTTAAGCGCATTCATGAAATAATGAACAAATCTTAATTCATTCTATGATAATATGACGTCAGCCGGCAAGGATTTTTATCGGCCAATTAATCTTGAAATTCAGCGGGAAAATTACTAGACTACTACAACTTACTGACTACAGTAAAGTTGCTAACAATATTATTTCATAGATTTATGATAATTAATAAAAATTATATTATATACCAGTATGAAGTTGAAATATCAAATAGTGATAATACTATGATATATACTAAACAATATTTTTATAACTATATGTCTATATATATTATTTGTTAAATGTTATGCTGCAATAAAAATAATGTTTATTCAAGTATTCAACTTGTTATTTTTTAGTCCTGTGTTCATCCACCAATTGTAGTGTAAGAAACTTCATAAAAATTTCGTGGTGCGTTGTTAAGCATTGCAAGATAAACAAACACCATTTAAAAGAGGCCTCTGATTTAGGTTCTCGATATAGGTTTCATCGTTTTCCAAGAAATCTTTTTTTTCAAACCTATGGGTTATAGCTGCTGGTAAACCTAATATAAACATACAGTCTGGTAAGTATCCCAACCATATTTAAGTCAAGTGAACTGACTGCATAACGCATATAATGATCAATGAAAAAATCTACTGTAGGTACCTACATTAGAAAGAATTTTATTACATTCATATAAGATATTAGGTTTAATGATCAAAAATTACAGGCTTAATAATAAGTACAAAATAATTAATATATTTGCTAAAACAACAAAACAGTTAACACACATTTACAGAACATACATAGAAAAATAAAATTAAAACCGTACAAAATGTATTATTTAATATTTTAATCTTATACAGTTTAGCTAGGATTTGTTCTGCCCACTTTGAGGATGATTGCTATGTAAAGCCTATGATAGAAACATTTTTTAATTATTCTCCTCGTTGTAAAAGGAAGTTAAAAGAAACTGCTATTTTTACTATAGATGTACATAGTCCACCAAAGTAGTCTGAAGAGTTTCACAATGAATTAGAATTCTTTGAATCAGAAGTGGTACCAGATACTGGTAAAACTTATTTACTTACTAACTAGTTATTTTTCAGTTTTATTTTGCTCAGTAGTATATACTATATATATACAGGGTGGGTCACGGGAATAGGGCTAAAAATAGATGGGTTTTTCTCGACGTAGGCTGAGTGTGAGTAAGTCGGAATGGTCTCATTCTATCCGTTAGATAATGCCATTTAGTTTCCACAATGGAGCAGTGGAGTGTCGTTCACCGTGTGTTCGCGTACGACTCATTTGTCAAAAACAACGAATCGGTAGTGAAAGTACAGCGTGCATTCAGAATTAATTTTAACATTGGCCGTCACGGTGCGGTTCCCGATCGGCAAACAATTATGAGATGGGTCACTGCTTTTCGAACAACGGGAATAATTACAAAAAAAAAGCCACCTGGCCCCGTACGTACTGTAACAACTCCCGAAAATACGGAAAGGGTAAGAGCCGCTGTTCTCCAAAGTCCACGACGCTCGGTGCGCAAACAAGCTCAGGCTTTACAAATTAATCGTTCTTCCGTTCGACGCATCGTCAAGCGTGAGTTGAACTTCCATCCTTATAAGTTGACAATTGTTCAACAGTTGAAACCCACTGATTATCACCAACGTTCAGAATTTGCATTAGAGATGCTCTCGTTATTTGAGGTGAATGACGATATACTGTTATTTATGAGTGATGAAGCGCATTTTCACCTCGACGGTTTTGTAAATAAGCAAAATTGCCGTTATTATGCTGCAGAAAACCCTCAAAGCCTCCACGAACGACCGTTGCACAGCCCTAAAGTGACTGTTTGGTGTGCACTTTCAAAAAAATTAATCATTGGTCCTTACTTTTTTGAGGAACAAGGAAACACGGTGACTGTCAATAGTGTCCCCCCTACATTGAAATGCTTAGTAACTTTTTTAAATCAGAGTTGCGTAAAAGAAGACGAATTATCAACCCGTCAAATATCTGGTTTCAACAAGATGAAGCACCTCATTTCACGTTTTGGAGATATGCATTGGCCTCCTAGGTTACCTGACTTGACGGTGTGCGATTTTTTCCTTTGGGGTTATCTAAAGTCACGTGTTTACGAGTCAAAACCACGTACACTAGACGAACTTAAGGATGCAATAAAAACGGAAATTGCATTAATAGACGAAAACTTGCTTCAACGCGTTCACTTAAATTTGTTGGACCAACTTTCTTCGTGCTACGAACAAGATGGACGTCATATGCTCGATGTTCTTTTCAAAACTTAAAATGGCACTTATTTGTGTATGATTAAATATTAATAAAATAATTGTACGTCTAAAACATCATGAGTTATATCTATTTGTTTTTGTCCCTATTCCCGTGATCCACAATTATTTTGTTTTTATAGAGATTGAAGTGATAGAAATATTTTCTAACGACTTTGAAGATATTAGGTAAGAATTAATTTAAAAAAATATTTATTTTTTTGTATTTTAATATGAAAAATTGCCAAGTGAGTTGAATTATTTGAAATTGAATGATAATTAATAAGTTTTGTTTTTAATAATTTAGGAATAATGATGTCGAATCTGAAATTGAAAGGTATAATATTACAAACCATAAATATGTTATTTACTCTGTGTTTTTATATAATCATAGTTGGCATTTAAAAAATATTAACTGTAGTATACTAAAAGTGTGTGTGTAGTATGTAGTGTGTACTAACTAATTAAAATAGTATATTTACATACATGTATTATGCAATACTAATAGGTAAATAAGTGTTGTAATACTAATTTAAAATTAAAATAATGTATTAATTATTAACTAATTGGAAATTTTATGTGAAGTATTTAATAAAATTTTTTTATTTTTCTATTTTAATTAAAATTCATTAATAAGTAGGTATTAGTTATAATAATAATGATAGCTGAAAGTAATAAAATTAAAATTAAAATTAATACATTTATAAGTTATTTTTAATTTTTAGATTAAAACTTCTACTTGTTGGTGCACAAAATAAAACAAAGATTTAAAAACCGAATTAGTTGCTTTAAAAAAGGAAAAAGTAAATTTAAAAAATGTAATTTCTTGTCGACAACAATCTATTAATAAGGATAATGATGAAAATAATAATTTGAAAAATGAATTGGTTATTTTCAAAAAAGAAATACTACATTTAAAAAATGTTATGTCTTTTCAATAACAATCAATAAACAACACTAATGACACAAATATCCAAGAGAAATTATTTTTAAACAGATTTACTGAAAAATTATCCAAATTATTTACACCCACTCAAATTACTTAATCTTAAAAAATAAAAATAAAGTATACATATAAATGGACTGCAGAGGATATTTCTTCTGCAATATCATTAAGGAGTGTTTCACCAAAAGCGTATCGATATTTGTTGAAAAGAGAATTTCCTTTGCCTGGTATGAAAAGATATTTATAATTAAAAATAGTAAACTTCATCTATGTATTCCATTGTTATTTGTAGGCCTTTCCACTTTACGATCATGGGCTGCTACTTTTCCAGTGGATCGTGGATTATTGTATTGTGTTTTAGAACTTTTGAAAAGTAAAGGTTAGGAATTTAAAACACATTATTAATTAAACATATTGTTGTATGAAATTAAAGAAATCAAATTGTTTATTTTTGGAAGGTCAAACTATGAACCGTAATGAAAAAATAACAATTTTATCTTTTGATGACACTTATGTTTCCCATAAAATATGCTTTGACAAACAGAATGAGCAAATAATTACGTACGTTTCTCCAGCCCCCCCCATATCGAATTTCAAAATTTTTTTTGGTTAAATATTTAGCGTGCAATTAGCGTGAATTGGCGTGACTGGTTTTGGAATTTGCTTGGCACTAGGTCAAGTTTAAAAATGTAAACAAAGTGGAGGGGGGGCTGTAGAAACGTTTCTACAGCCCCTCCTCATCCGAATTTTGAATTTTAAGGACTTTTTTATGTCTCAATATTTAGCGTGTAATTGGCGTGAATTTGCGTGACCTATTTCGAAACCCTGCATTCAAAACACCAAGTACCACGGGCGTTACCATTTTTTAGACATTTCTCCAGCCCCCCCTAAAAGACAAATAAATTTTTTTTCGTATTTTTTTCAACGCCAACATTTAGCGTGCAATTGGCGTGAATTTGCGTGACCTATTTCGAAACCGTAAACCCAAAGCCCCAAGTACTGTGGGCTTTACCCCTTTATTGCCATTTCCCCAGCCCCCCTCAAACAGCAAATAAATTTTTTTTCGAATTTTTTTCAACGCCAATATTTAGCGTGTAATTGGCGTGAATTTGCGTGACCTATTTCGAAACCGTAAACCCAAAGCCCCAAGTACTGTGGGCTTTACCCCTTTATTGCCATTTCCCCAGCCCCCCTCAAACAGCAAATAAATTTTTTTTCGAATTTTTTTCAACGCCAATATTTAGCGTGCAATTGGCGTGAATTTGCGTGACCTATTTCGAAACCGTAAACCCAAAGCCCCAAGTACTGTGAGCTTTACCCCTTTATTGCCATTTCCCCAGCCCCCCTCAAACAGCAAATAAATTTTTTTTCGAATTTTTTTCAACGCCAATATTTAGCGTGCAATTGGCGTGAATTTGCGTGACCTATTTCGAAACCGTAAACCCAAAGCCCCAAGTACTGTGAGCTTTACCCCTTTATTGCCATTTCCCCAGCCCCCCTCAAACAGCAAATAAATTTTTTTTCGAATTTTCTTCAACGCCAACATTTAGCGTGCAATTGGCGAGACCTATTTCGAAACCCTGCATTCAAAACACCAAGTACCATGGGAGTTACCATTTTTTAGACATTTCTCCAGCCCCCCCCCCCCCCCAATGAAAATAAATTTTTTTCGAATTTTTTTCAACGTCAATATTTATCGTGCGATTAGCGTGAATTTGCATGACCTATTCGGAAATCATTAACCGAAAGCCGTGGGCTTTGCAAATACGAAATACGAAGAACATGGAAAATAATTTACGAAAATTATAAAATACCTATATAGTATATACTACGGGTGGGTCGAACTGTTCGAAGTTCGAAAAATCGAACCCAGTTTTAAAAAAACTGAACCGAACCGAACACGAACAAAAAAGTTCGAAAATCAAAATAGTTCGAACTCAAAAAATAACAGCAAAAATTCTAACATGTCAAACGTTTCGAACTAAAAATGTTCTCGATTTTCATTTTATTTTTAGTTTTCCTATTGTCTATAATCTATAATCTATATAGTTATATACTTATATAGTATATACAATATTCTATATCATTATTTACTATGTATTTAAATTTTAAATATTACAAATGTAAAATTAAAACCACGATATTGTCCGATATTATTATTTATAGACTTGGATAAATTATTAATTTGGTTTTGTTGTTTTGCACTATTATATAAATTATAAATTATATATATATTTATAATATATAATTTATATAACCGAAGTTTGTAACACGCTGAACAATATTATAAGCTAATATAAATATTGATTATAGGTAGATATTCATAAAATTAAAATATCTTTATCATTATTATTTATAACCATTTGGCATTTATATTTTTATAACATAGGTCCTGAGTCCTACACTCCTACAGTCCTACTACTTACTCATTAATCGTTAATTCCAAATAATAGTTATCAGTGTTATTGGTTAGTGGTTACTTATTAGTGACTAATTGACAGTGTACGAATTATTGTACGACATACGACATACGTTTAATGTTAATTATTATTATTTATTAGGTCTTAACTCTTAATTCTTAATAGTGTTAATTCTGTAATAGTTAATATCAAATATTATATTATTATTTAATTTTGAAAATTTTCATTATTCAGTGATATAGGTAAAAGAAAATAAATACATAATTTAAAACATATTAAAAGAAACATAAAATAAAATAGTTTATTTTTTAAATAAGTAAACTTCATTAGAACTTGAAACGTTATCGTCTGTCTTAATCATACAAACCAGCTTATATATTTTTAAAAAAGAAAAAAGAATAAATGTCCTAATCTTTTTGGATTTTTTTAAACTCAGTTAAAACATTTTAAAAATAAACAAAAAATAAGATGTAAATAAATAATTAATAAATATTAAATAAAAAATATGAATAATATTATTAATTTTCAACATTTTTTTTTTGTCCATTAAAATAAATTATAGGTATAGATAGATATATTATAGTACATACCTAGTATGTACTATGTAGTATTACTACATAGGTACATAGATAACTAGAATTTGATCAAGATAAAGATAAATATAATTGAGCTGAAAACTATCCACATAAAATAAAAGATAAGTAATTATTATCTACTGATCTAGATATTTCCCAACACTGAGCATACGGCTTTAAAGTATAAAGTAAAAACTATAAGGCTTTCATTTGCCATTTAATTCAAAAGTTTATTTTGGGTTCAGTCTGGTAATGAAATATATGGTAAATATGTGGTTCGAGTTATACTTCACACTAAAAAGTTCGGTTCGAGTTCGGTTCGACATACCAAGGTTCGGTTCGAGACCATATTTTTGATTTCGACACACCTCTAGTATTGTTTATATATGTAATATATATTTATTATGATCTAATAATAATTAAATTAATAAAACAAAATCATTATAATCAGATGATTTTTCCTGCCAAAATTCGAGAAATTTAAACCGTTGCTACTCAGGGTCGAAGACTGAATTAAACATTATTCAACCGTTTTAATTCGTATGAATATTGTGTGTAATAAAACCTTAAATCGCTTATTTGTACCTACGTATTCGGTGTATTACCATTTTTAGTACCAATAACTTTATAGGTGCCTACATAATGTGCTCAATTATGTATCCATACTGCACTTTTTAAATGTTATTTATTCAAAGAAAATTAGTGATCTGACCCTTATTATATTGTATATAATTAACAAAATTGATCACAGAGATATTATGCTATGAATGAAGATACATTGGAATTTCTGTAAAAAATAAAATGAAATTTTTACTATATTATTATATACTAATATATAGAATCTATAGCTATAGAAAGTATAGCCTTATCATTTTTTGATTTTCGGGTGCCAACCGAAATTAAAATTAAAATGGTGGAAGCACTTAAATCAACCCAGAACAATGATGATACAATTAAAAAAATTGTTTTGAGTAAAGAGGGTATAAAAACATTTATAAAAAAAGAATTACATGAATTTGTATCACCAGAAACAGTCAACTTTTTTTTAAGATTTAAAATTTCAGCTGACTTCATAGATTT